TATAGATGTGCAATAGGATACTGTTCAGCCTTTAAAAAGAAGCAAATTGTGTCATTTGCAGTAACATGGATGAACCTGGAGGATGTTATGTTAAGTGAAGTGAGACAGACACAGAAAGTCAAATATTATCTCACTTACCTGTTGTTCTTCTTAAAAAGCAGAACTCATAGAACAAAGAGTAGAACAGTGGTTACCAGAGACTGTAGGTAAGGGAGAGTTTTGGGAAAAAAACCGGGGAAAACACCATCACTGCATTTATGACAGTTAACTTGGTGCTCTTTGCCAGTATGATGAGAGAAAAGCTGTTCTTGGTGGTCTTCATTTACATTTCTTTTATTAGGAATGAGCTTGCATGTCATTTGTTTCTTGAACTTTCCATTCATATCCTTTCAACATACTCCCTGCCTTACTGTGGGAAGCAAAAGGAGGCTAGGTTGAAACCTCTGGTCTTTGGGGTAAGCTAGCGGGGAGGAAGAGGAGAGGAGGGAAAGGTAGAGAGCAGAGGGGTGCATGTCTGACAGGAGGAGAAGAGGTGGGAGGGGCCCTGAGTGAGGCTGCCAGGGTACCCTTTCTCTCCTTTAGGTTTTGTTCTTACCAGTGAGCCTGGGAAGGACAGAGCAGACCTTCATCATCCTGTGTGACAACTGCCAGATAAAGGAGCTGGTGATCGCAGGTGGGCTTGCATGTGCTCCTGGGTGGGGGTGGCTGGCAGCAGGGTGGCTGTACTCACCACGTGTCGGGGAGCAAGCACCCTGGGGATGTGGCAGCCTCCAGGCACCAGGCTGTAGTTTTCAGCCCCTTGCTTTGGTCAGATCCAAGCCAGTGTGGCCTCCAGGTCAGTCTGAGGAGTCCTGCAGTGAGGGCAAGTGGAAACCTGAGGCAAAATCTTTCATTGCTTCACTTTTAAAGTCACTTTGTTTGCCTTTGAGGAATTGCCAGTGATTCACATAAATCACCAGAGGCACCTCGAACTTTCTATAAGGTTGGAAGGCTCATCCTGCTGAATTGCCCAAAGATGCCCACCCATCTGTCTTCCCTTCCCGTTATCCTCTCTCCTTCTTTTCTTTCTTTCTTTCTTTTCTTCCTTTTGTCCATCCAGTTACACTTGGCAGGCATTAAACTGAATGCCTGCTATATGAGAGGTTCCCAAAATCACCTCCTTTCTGGCTGTGAGGAAGTGAGGATGTGAATGTCATGCTAATGGCCCTCTTCCTCTACACGTCTCTTTCCTCTACACGTCTCTTTCCTCTACATGTCTGGGGACTATGGGCAAGGCAGGTTGCATGTGGAGGATGGAAACTTCACTAACCTTACTACCCCACTTCGTCAGGAACTGGGCAGCTCATTGCTTTGGATCTAATCTATATTTCTGGTGAAAAAAGTCAACCAGACCCAGGAGAGCTGACAGACTTAACAGCTCAATACTTCGTTCGATTTGAGCCTGAAAACCTTCAGTCCACTTCGAGGAAACAATTGATTATCAGAAATGCAACGTGAGTGGCCCCTGTGCACACCCCGCAGCATGCATCCCTTCTCCTGCCTCACCTGGTCCTGAGTTACCGATGAGGCAGGAGCATCCTTCTAAGGCCAGGGGGATTCAAGGCCCACGATAGATTCAGATTGGATGGAAGGATCTAGATTCACACTCTACATCTTGATGGCCACTAGCCACATGTTACTCTTTAAACTTGAATCAGTTAAAATTAAATAAATTTATAGACACTTCCTCAGCGGCACTAACCACATTTTAAGAGCTCAGTCACGATGTGTAGCTAGTGGCTGCCATATTGGAGATGGCATATTACTGCTCTAAATCACTTTGACCCATTCTGAGCCAGGAACAGTTTTCTAGAGGGTCAAGTTGCACCAGTGCCCTGATGCTGGCTAAGCATCCAAGGCCTGGGGTAGACAGATTAGGTCTATGGGTTCAGCCTTCACTGTCATTCGCTTCCTGACCACCCTTTAAGCACCACCATTCCACCAGGACTGACCTCAGGGAACTCCCAGCTAGGGCTTCTCCCTGTTGTCAGACATTACACAGGCTTCTGTGACCCAGCGTGGCAGGTGGGACTTGCCTGATGTCCCTCCTCCATTGACAGCTTCCTGTCAGAAACGTGTGTGAAATCTGTACTTCCTACTGCCATGGAACTGTCACAGTCCCTATGGGCAGCCAAGCGCACTTATCTTACTGTCTTGGGAATGCATAGCTAGAGACAAGGTCCAGGGAGGGGTAGATATGGCAAACCCTAGACACATGTGGAGGAGATACTGCAGGAGGTTTTCCTGATATCCAGGGATGCTTAGATCCCTTTAGGTTAATGGTTGGAGCATGACTTCTGGAGTTGACCATTTCTCTTGATTCACTACAACTCCTACCTCCATCTCTGGTGGATGGAAAGGAGGGAGCTCTTTTACGTGGTTTCCAGTTTGGACTCCCTGACCCACCTGCAGTCCCTGGCCCAGGCCCTTCTATGCTCCTCCAGGGGAAGGACTTGCAGCTGGATGTAGTAAGTTCCTATTCCTTTGTCTTTTTTTCTGCTTACTCCTGGAGCAGGGCAGGCCAGGTATGTGTAGGAGGACCTGATACAATTGGGACATAGCTTCAGATCTGCTGTCTGTTGTCATGGTTGTCCCCACAGGCACGTTGAGTTGGCCTTCCATTGGCAGATCATGATGCCCAACCTGCAGCCTCTCATGCCCGGAGAAACCTACAGCCTGGACAACATCAAGTACCACCCTGACAGGGAGACTGCCTTCTCCATCAGGCCTGCAAAGGGGGTTCTCAGCCCCCACACAGACCACGAGTTCATCCTGAGCTTTTGTCCTTATGAGGTTAAAAGGGTGTCTTGTCAGCTGCACATGATTGGGTCATGATATCTTGCCCCTCTGCCCATGTTCTTTAGTGACACTGAAGCCACAGCTGGGCCTAACAAGGTACCTGAGCACTCTTAAGTCCAGCCTTTAGCTAAGAATGTCCCCCGAGCATGTGCCTGGTGTGCAGGGTGATGCAACTCATTTTTCTCATCCTGATCCCATGTGCATGCATCAGCAGCAGGACCCCAGGCTTGTCTCCTAACCCTAGTGTCTTCCACAGTTCTCTTGTGTCAGGAAACATCACCACCTCACCCATCCCACAGCAGCCTTTAGACAGAATGAGGTTCAGGCTGCCAAGGGCCCGGTTAGCACAGGGCCAGTCTGGGGCTTCTGTTAGCAAGACTTGGACCCAGATGGGCGTGGGTGCACTTCAGGGCTCACCCCAAGGCCAGTGTCAGCCTCAGGGGTCTCTCTTCCTGCCAGAAGGCAGGGCCAAGGTAGACCCCCGAGTCATGGCTCCTGTGCTGGCAGTGTCCCTACTTTCTAAGGGTGTGAATGAGATTGCAGAGAAGCAGCCCAGGGCTACATGGAGGGCCAAGGGGAGGAGGGATTCCTGCGACAGTGCCAGTTTTCTCCAGGCAGCCTGGCTGGAGTGCATGCCTGTTTTCAGTGTGCAGTATTTGTCTTGCAGCTGAGACGTTTCCACAGTGTGCTGCAGATGGTGCTGGAAGATGTCCCTGAGCCTGTAAGGTGAGTAGAGCCTGGACCAGGATTTGGGTGGACGGGGGGGTGCTTCTGTGGCAGGCCCCAGACCTGGGGTGGATAATCACCCTGGCCCCAGCAGGCTTTGGGGGCCTCAAGCATTTTTAAAACTTGCCTTGACAGCCTACTCCAGGTTGGGCTCAGCATATAGGGTGCAGAGTTGGCTTGACTTGCTAGGAGAGCTGTAGGTCACCCCAGGAAGCATGGGCTGTACCCTGGGCCTATTGCTTCCCTTGAATAACTGAATTCATGCTGCTTGGGTGATGTTGAATGCTAGGAGAATTTTGGCTCCTGGTCAGGGCGGGTCTCCTGGTGGCCTGGTGCACAGATCCCAGGCTGGGGGCTGTGGTGTGGCATGGGCTGATGATTCTGATTGTACAGGGCTCAGGAACCATGGACTGTAGGTCTTTTCAAGATCAAAGATCTTGAAAGACAGAGACAGAGACAGACATGCAGGGGTATGCTCCCAGGCTGTGTTGTTTTCTAGCTCATGGTGGGTTTGTCTTCAGCTCAGAGGTAGAAAACCCGGAGGACTACTCATACTGTGTGGATAACGTGATTGTCTTGGAAATCGAGGTGAAAGGCTCAGCAGAGCCCTTCCAGGTTCTTTTAGAACCGTATGCCCTCATCATTCCGGGGGAGAACTACATTGGCGTCAATGTGAAGAAAGATTTTAAGGTAGGGCATAGTCTCTTCCTTGCTCAGCCTGGCTGGGAAGATGATGAACTGTAGGGAAGACAGAGCTGGAGGAGCCACTGCATGGAGCCTGAGACTGCCCAGGGCTTCAAACCTAGTGTTGCTTGCACAGATGCCTGGGCCAGGCATGCCTTATCTTATTTTACCGGTGTTCCAGAATCCTCTGAAATAGGGCTGTGGAACCTACCCCTACTCACAGGTCCTTGGCAGGATATGGCACCCACATTCCCGCAGTAAGCAGCAAGGATGCTGTTATGTAGGGAAGGCTGCAGCCTTGGGTGGTGAGGAATTAACTGGGAGGGTATCGAGCAGACTTTGGGTGAGCTCAGGATCCCACTCCATTCAGCAGGTACAGATCTGAGGTGAAAGGGCAGCCTGGATTGGGGTGTCTTTCAGATGTGGAACAACAGCAAGTCACCCATCAGATACATGTGGGAGAAGATCAGTGACTGTCACATCATTGAAGTGGAGCCCTGCGCAGGGGTCATAGGTACCTGGGAGCTGCAGGAGGGTGTGCTCTGCTCCGGAGGACTCATTAAAGTTAGAGAGGCCGCTGGAAGGCTCTTGGTGTCTTGCCATCAGCTCCAGCCAAGGCCTTTGGCATGTGGCAGATGAAGTGAGCATCTGGATGAAGTCTGGACATCGTGTCCTAACCACAGAAGGAGACCGCCTCACTTCTGTTCTTTCTGTTTTTCTCTTTCAGAGCCCAATGAAGTCGGGGACTTTGAGTTGAACTTTACCGGGGGTGTCCCTGGCCCAGCAAGCCAGGACCTGCTCTGTGAAATCAGAGACTCCCCCTCGCCAGTTGTGTTACACGTTGAGGCAGCCTTTAAGGTCTGCGGGTGGGGGCTGTGCAGCGGCGGGGGGTGGGGGGTGGCATGGGTAGGACACAGAGCCCACTCTCGGACAGCCTAGTGATAGGCTCTTCCGGGTATCTCAGGGGCCTGCCGTTGTCATCAATGTCTCAGCCCTTCAGTTCGGTCTGCTCCGCCTGGGACAGAAAGCCAGGAACTCTATTCAGATCCAAAATGTCAGCCAGCTCCCCGCCTTGTGGCACCTGAGGGAGAGCCCAGCCTGCCTGGAAGAAAGACGCGAGAGTGTAAGTTGGGCACTGCTGGCTCCCGCTGTGCCGCCTCACCCACGAGTGCTTACCCTTGGGTTGCCTCTGGACTGCAGCCCTGGTGCAGTGTGTGCAGATCAGAGCTCTGAGGCCAGAGTGAAAAGCCTGCTGCCCCCTGTTGCCCACCACACCCCACCACCGAGGTGGCATCCTGCACAGCTGAGTTCATCCCCCAATCCCAAATTAGCAGCGCTTCCTGTTCCCCTTTCTGCTGTTGGATATAGGACCAGCTTTCTCTCTCATAAGAACAGCCTTATTGGGGTGGGGGGATGGGCAGCTGCGTTGGTCATGACGCCTCCAGGGTTGCTGTTGCTAGGGCCATGTTCCTGCCCTGAGGACTGACCCAGGATTCTGCTGCTCCCTAGGGTGGTACCTGCCATTTGAGTACCTGCCAGCAGGTGGCATCTGGGCACAGGCAGGTGGCCCAAACCTTGAAAACTCCAAAAAGATAATTCAAGATTTGTTTGCATTTCTTAGCTGTTTCCTTGGCTGAGCTTTGACCCAAATTCCAATGCCCGAGCTCTGGCAAGCACACAGAGCCTTCTTTTTTTATGGCAGTGCCAGGGAGGCTGAAGCTCAGAAGCCAGCAATCACAGCCTCCTACGTCTGTACCACGGGGCCTGGGTAGGGGTAAGGGAGGGAGAGGGCAAGCCCGGCCACGTGGCACCTCCAGGAGCCTAATCGCATGGAAAGGAGAGACCAGATCTCTCCCTGAGAGAGCTCATTGTCACGGAAGGAAGGAACCAGAGAGGGATTACATCTTGTCCAGTGTGACCTTTTAATGTCCCGTGGCACCCTCACTAGCCAGTGTGGCCCCTCTGGGGCCCTAGGGCTTTTCACTTGGAGGAGTGCCCCTCCTCTCACCAGGGACAGGAAGGATGGAATGTGGCGAGCCCTCCCCAGCTGTAGACACTTTTCTACCTGAGGTTTTTTTTCCGCTTCCAGTATCTCTCTGTCTAGGTGTCTGGTAGGGGGAAGGCCAGACTTACAGGCTGAATGAGTCCATCCTGCAAGGATGAGGGGAAGTGCACAGGGCTACGTGGGAGCGAAGGAAAAAACTGTGGCTATGTGGCAGGTTCCCCCATCCCCTAGGCTGGTGACCTGAGGGCTCTCCTTGGTTGAAGCTGTCCAGGTCCTGACCCAGGCTTGCCCAGAGGGCCGCTGCACCTCCCTGCCCTGGCTCATAGGCTCTCATCCCGGAGCTGGAGGCTCCACTGCCAGCCCAGCTCTCCCTGCTCCCCCGGGGTACCTCCCTCTGCTTCCTGCCTCTTAGATGTGGGCCGAGGCATGGAGACCTCTCTTTTACTTATCCCTTTACTTTGGAGGCTCAGTGTTTGTCCCCTTGACCTGGCCCAGCTGTGGTCCCCCACCTGCTTACCTCCTTGGGGGCCCCACGTGGCTCCGTGAGAGCTGGGAGCAGCTTGGTGAGAGCCTTGGGGGGCATGGCCAGCCCTCGGTGCCCGGGCAGTCCCACGTGTTGTTATTCCTCATCTTCCTCATCCACTAGGTATCACCCTTTGACATTGAGCCTTCGAGTGGCCAGCTTCACCCTCTGGGGGAGTGCAGTGTGACCGTCACCTTGGAGGCGTTGCGCTGCCAGAGTCTGCAGACTGTACTGGAGCTGGAGGTGGAAAATGGGGACTGGAGGTATGGAGGGTTGGGGTGGGAAGATTACAGCAGACCATGTATATTCATAGTTTGTTCGTGGCATGTGCAATTATGCTTGTATATAGAGACATTTCTGAATTTAAAACTGTTGATATATGGCTATTCTATAAAATTTGGAGGCTACAGTAAAGAAATTTGCGATGACCCATGATCTAATATCTATAAATCATTTGCCAGTAATGTTAGTGGGTTTATTTTCCTAGTGTATGTGCCAAAATAATGTAAATTAGCACAATCACCTTAAAAACACTTTACTATTACCTACTAAAGTGCAACATAATAGTGGGAAACTAGAAACACCAATGTTCAGCAGCAGGAGGATGGACTCACAAAATTGTGACATACGTAAATGTATACATACTATTATACCTTGGGAGGAGTACCTTGGAAGTTTTGAATGTACCAATATTTCTTTTCCTTCTTCCTGTTCTCCCTCCTCTGCTCTCCCTCTTTTTTTCTTTCTCATGGGAAGTATATCACATATGTAAGGGGTATGTATGTTTATACTCACTTGTGCAGGTATTTTTATATTTTGAATTTATTATACAAACATTCAGATGCTCGCTTAAAATCTTTATGGATACGGTGGAATGTTCTCCCAAGAGACTGACATTTTACACTTCCACCTGCATTGTGTGAGACTGCAAATTACCCTACATTCTCACAGTGACAGATATTAACTGACTTCTTACACTTTGGTCATCTGATGGGGAGCAGAGAAGAGCACCAACTCTTGTTTTCTGTGCCAATCATTTCTTTACTGATCCTGCAGAGCACTTTTTGACACGAGGCTCAGTTTTTCCTTTTTATTAGTTATTAGTTAGCTTCCTGCCACTGAGACACAATACCCACTGCTTACAGTAGAAAAGGTTTAATTTAGCTCAGGGTTTCAGGGGATTCAGTACCAGGTCATCAGGCTTCAAGGCAGAAACCTCATGGCCAAAGGGCGTGGTGGAGCAAAGCTACTTAGTTCATGGTGGTGAGGAAGCACAGCAGAGCAGCACCAGAGAGGAGTGGACAGGGAACAATGTACAGTTCCCACAGCCGTGGCTCCGTGACCTGCCCAGACACCCAAGCATGCTTTACTAATGTACTAGGCACTTCTCAATTCACTGAAGATGATATATCAGGATTAACGTTCACTTTTTCTATGAATTCTTATTTCCTTTCTTTCCTGATTCTGTTCTTTCTTCTGAAAGGATCTCATATTAATCCAAATGTGTACATTTACAGGTGTACATGTGTAAATGTGTACACTTATACTCACTAACTAATTTGGAGAAAAAAGGAAAAAGCATTGGGTCATGTAACCAGGTGCTCCTTCCTTGTCAAACCCAGCAGCTTTATTTGTCCAGTCTTCTGCTTTCTCTCCTTCTCTACCCTTCTTCCCTCTTCGTGACCCTCATTCCAGCCTCAGTCCTCATCTCTGCTCCTCTTTGTTGGCTTGCCTTCCCATGTTGGTGAGGACCTTTGGTTGCTCTGCTTGGAGAGAGGCCCCTGAGAGAGCTAGGCTCTTACGCACCCACCTTTACAACCTTGATGAAATGTGAACCACTTTTCTCCAGAGATGGGCTGTGGTTGCTCCTCTTTGGGTCACTGGTCCACCCTTTCCCCTTGGTGAGGCATTAGGGGGCAGGGTGGTGATGGGGAGCTGTCTCAGAGGAAGCAAGTGGGTGAGCTTCCTAGACAATACAAACAATGGCTGCTGGACCTAGGTAGGACTGCATGAATTTAACTGTGCGTCTCATAGTTCCCATTTCTTAAAGTGGTTTTGCTCATTCAGGGAACAGGTCCTTGGCCGTGAGGCTCACTCATTCTCTCTTTGGTGATATAGCCTTTTGGCAGTGGAATATTTAAATTTCAGCATTTTGTTCTTGGCTTGTTCCTTTTTAATAGGACTGTAATCTGTTACTGTCTTATGGATGTAATAGCCTCTCACATTCTCCCCGAGGAAACTAAATTCTGTTTTCTCAGGTTTTGGTCTGGAGTCCTTCTCCTTTACTTGCTGGTTTTCTTCTACATCTAGCAGGGTTTGAGAGGGAGATCTAGTTGATTTGTGTAAGGAGCCAGTGGTGTCTGTTTTCTCTGAGTAAGATGATGATGGAGGTCTGATGAGCACTTCTCTTATGTGGAATGATGTGTAGGAGAGTGTGTCGCCCTCAGAGCACAAATGCTAGCCCCAGTCCTATAAGAAGAAGGGGTCTTTGTGAAAAATAGTAAAGTCAAACAGCAGAGGAAGCCCAAATTGGCCAGCTACACAAATCAATCCATTCTAAAAAAAAAAAAAAAAAAAAAGAAAAGAAATAGGAACAAAGGAGTAGGATCAGTTTGGTTGTTTTTCCCTGTGACAGTCGAGAGGAACAGGGTTACTGCAGACTTCACCTTGAGCTCTCTCCAGCGCTACATCCATGCTCTGTAGTAGGGCACATACTGCTGCAGCCCAGTCTTCGTGTGTTGCACTGACCACAGAAGCTGGGCTCTGAATGGCCCAAGTGTTCAAGCTCCCGGCGATCCTTCAGTGTTTTCCAGCTGTTTCCATTCAGCCTACTTCTGTCCACTGATACTTTTCATTCCACTGTTAGCATGTCAGTTAACCTGTGCAGGGCCTTTTGCTCCAGGGGTTTTAAGCAGCAGTTTTGTTGTTCTCTGTTGTGTCAGTTAATCTGATCTCACCCGCCTCATGTTGAATTAATGCTACATTTTCCTTCCATCCCTCCTCGTCTTGCTGTCTCTTGCTGGGAATGGAACCCAAGGTTTCACACATGGTAAGAATGTGTTCTTCTACTGAGCTATACCCCCAGACTTTTAATCCCTTATTTTAAAAGTTTCACACATAGTATGTATGCTGGGTTTGACAGTTGCCAGTTCTGGCTGTGCTCCATTCTTTTCTTTCTTTCTTTCTTTCTTTCTTTCTTTCTTTCTTTCTTTCTTTCTTTCTTTCTTTCTTTCTTTCTTTCTGGGCCACATCCTCAGTGATTCCTGTGATTCCCTCTCTTTTTGGTGGCACTCATTAGAAATATGAAGCAGCATTTCACTGAGAATTTGCTTTGCATTTTCCTTGTGGAAAATGATGTTGAGTATCTTTGCATGCATTTATTGGTCACTTGTAAATTCTCCTTGGAGAAATACTAATTGAGATGCTTTGCCTAGTCTTAGAAGTAGAATTGTCTTTTTATATTATTGAGTTGCAAGCATTGAAAAAATATATTTTAGATGCAGGTTTCTTACTAGATACATGCTTTTCAAATATTTTCACTTATTCCGAGGATTGGCTTTTCACTTCCTTGATGGTATACTCTGAAGTGCAAAACTTTTTAATTAGTGCAATTAATCTGTTTTTGTTCATTGCTTATGTTTTTTGATGTCATACCTAAGAAATCATTGCTTAATCCAAGCTTACAAAGATTTTTCCTGTTTTTTTCTTTTTTTTTTTCCTGAAAGTTTTACAGTTTTAGCTCTTACATTTACGTCTCTGATCCATTTTGAGTTAATTTTTGTGTATGGTATGAAAAGGGGGTGTAAATTTTCCAACTCTGTTTTTCTTTTTCAGGGATGTTTTGGCTCTTTTGGATCCTTCAAATTTCTGTATGAATTTTAGAGTCAGTTTGTCATTTTTGGCAGGAAGTGAACTGGGGTTTTGATGAGAGTGTGTGTTGTGTCCGTGGGTCAATATGGAGAATATTGCCATCCTGACAGTGTGGTCCCTGTCCACAAACATGAACTGTGTTTTCATTTATGCAGGTCCTTTTCCTTTCTTTAAGTTTTTTTGGTAGTTTTTAATATATAAATCTTATAATTTTTTGTTAGAATATTCCTATATATTTTTGTTGTTGTGGTGGTTGCTTTTGGAAGTAGAACTGTTTTCTTGGTTTCTGATTTGTCCATTGTTAGGGTACAGAAGGAAAAAATTCTTGGATATTGGTCATATATCTTGTGGCCATGTTGACCTCATTTAGTGTTTCTGGTAGATTTCTTTCTTTCTTTGCTTTTTTATGTTTTATGAGACAGGACCTCATTTGGCAGTTTAGGCTGTCCTGGAATTCGCTATGTAGCCCAGGCTGGCCTTGAACTAGTGGCACTAATGGTTTTTTTTTAAATTGAGGAATTTTAAAAAATTGTCATCATAGACAAAAAACATTTTATAATTATAAAAAATTGACTATCAGAAAGACATGAGTTATAAGCATCTGTATATTTAATAATAGAGCCCCAAGATATATGCAACAAAAGCTGACAGAACTGAAGTGAGAAGTTGACACTCATGCATGATAAAAACCTTACAGAAAATCAGAAAAGATGGACTTCACCTCAATCTGATAAAGGCCATCTATGTCAAACCAACAGCCAACATCATACTAAATGGACAAAACCTGAAAGCTTTCACTTTAAAATCAGGAACAAGACAAGGATGTCCACTGTCACCACTCCAATATAGTGCTGGAAACATTAGCCAGAGCAATTAGACAAGGGAGAGAAATAAAAGGGATAAGAATAGGAAAGAAGAAAGTGAAATTATCATTATTCACAGATAACATGATTCTCTACATGGAAAAAGCTCTGCCCCAAAAACTCTACCAAAAGACTCCTAAAATTAATAAACAAATTCAGTATCATAGCTGGATACAAGATCAACACTCAAAAATCAATAGCATTCCTATACACAAACAACAAACACACTGAGAAATTAGGGAAATCACACCTTTCACAACAGCATCCAAAAAACTGAAATACTTAGCAATCACTGTAACAAAAGAAGTGAAAGATCTACATAGTGAAAATTATACTACTCTGAAAAAGCAATCAAAGAGGATTTCCAAAAATGGAAAGATATTTGTAGCTCATGGATAGGAAGAACCAACACTGTGAAAATAACCATACTCCCAAAATTGTTTTATACAGCTTCAATGCAATCCTGATCAAAACACCATTAGTATACCTCATAGATCTAGAGAAAACAGTTGTGAAATTCACCTGGAACC